TTGATAATGAAAGAACACACATGTCCTATATTATATATGCCCCCTTCATTGTGTATTGAAGTATTGTTTCTTGTAATATCCTGCATGATAAATTATAATTATGTCAATTTCCCTCTGATGTTTTATGTCTTTTTCATGTAAAAGGTGATGATGACTAAAATTACCTGTATGACAAATGATGTAGTTTCAGTATCTTCAATTCTACTTGTTTGATTTATGCCAACACACACCTCTTATTTGAGTTTATTTTTCTGTGAACTTAAGTTTAACTTGTCTAAACTGTGAATTGGTATGAACTTAATTGTGAATATGAGGTTGCTTCAGTAGTCCAGCATAAGTTTTTTGAGTTAGGCAATTTTTTGACCTGCATGTAGCCATGGAGAATGATCAATTTCTACTGCAAACTGCATTAGAATTCTACTGAACCGTGATTTTATTCTATTCCTTTATGTAGAAGCACCATTTTGTTGATTGCACATTTATTAGTAGTAAATTACACGCTTTAATTACTGCAATTATGGTGTGTAACATGTGCAATATCTGGTCTTTATAAATAACTTTGTCACTATTTTAGTTAACTTAGAGCATGCAATTGTTCTTGCTTTAGGGCATCGATATTCTTCTGTATGGGCTATTTGGGACTGGAAATGGATCTTCTGTTTCAGTGTAAGCATCAGACACTACATTTTTATGGAGTGCATATAATTTCTATTTTAATACAACTCTTCTCTTTAAGGAATAGATCTTTGTGCTTGATACGACAATTGTTTCCTTAACTGCAGTGAAAATGCTGAAGGGTAGTGCATATATCAGCTGGTTTCATGATATTCTTCTCTATTCTGGGTAAGTTTACTTGTCATGGGACTAGTATTTGATTCTTTACCAGATCTTTGAGATAATAGATTTTAAGCCTAACATGTATGATGGAACTTCAAAATTGGCCTTGTCTTTTCATAGATTTGTGCCAGCTCACACCTTATTTTTGTCCTTGTCTTCTCATAGAAAAAAATTGTTCGTTGTGATTTTGTGCTAACATATATTGAACTTTGTTAATTGTGATTTGTGCTAGCACACACGTCTTATTTGTCCTTATCCTTTCATAGAAAAAATTGTCACTTGTGATTTGTGCTAACACATCTTGAATTCTGTTGATTGTGATTTGTGCTAGCACACATCTGTTATTTGTTCTTGTCCTTTCATAAAAAAATTGTCCTCTTATGATTTGTGCTAACACATCTTAAACTTTGTTAATTATGATTTGTGCCAACACACACCTCTTATTTGCCCTTGTCCTTTCATAGAAAAAAATTGTCTCTTGTGATTTGTGCTAACACATCTTGAACTTTGTTAATTGTGATTTATGCCAACACACACCATTTGTCCTTGTCCTTTCATAGAAAAAAAATTCTCTCTTATTATTTGTGCTAACACATCTTGAAATCTATTAACATGTTACATAACTGAACCCTTGATCTGTCAGACCTTTTGTTACAGAGAAGAGGCAGTCTGCAGCTAACCGGATCAAAGAGAAGTACCTTGATAGAATTCCAGTAAACTTCTACCCTCCTATATGCATTGTTTTTTGTTTGTGTTGATTTACTCAAAATCCTAAAATCTTCTCTGTCAGTGCGTCCGATCTGCAGCTTGGCCGCGCTCTGCTGCTGCTGCTGCATGCTCCCGGGCATGTGAATAGATTGCTATAGATGCTCTGAACATATAGTATCTCCTTAGGCCTATCCACTAATGGATTAGTGGCGTTTATTGTTCTTGTCCATAATAGTCGCAGTGCTCTGTTCCTATTAATATGTTCTATTCACGAAAAAACAAATAAAACATTCAGTTACTTAATAATTGCAACCAGCAATGCTGTAAATTGCAATTATTGAGCACTGCAATTTTAGTGTTGAGGATATGCAATATGTCCCTTTTTACTTTCAGGGGTTGACTATTAGTAAGGAAATCATTCTTCCACGAGAATCCTTCTAACTTTTTTTATCTGGGTTTTGTGTAGTGGGTTGTACATGGTATAGTTGAACTGAGAGGTTTGGGATTCATAGTTTGTCTGTTTTCCACATTTTCTACAATTGTGTAATGTCTTACTGGGCCAAAATTTTTTCTTTGTTTATTGTGATTTGTGCTAGCCTACACCATAGTTAAATTAGTAATAATACTAGTGCTTTTCTAATAGCCAGATGCAAATCATTTCTCCCTTTCAATATTGAAGCTGCACTTGCACGTCAATGCTCAGTATTTAGCTCTTCAAAGTTGATAGCAGAGGCAGAAGTTTCCTTCAGTATTGCTATTGCTATGTCATTTAAGTTCTGTAGCCGTATGCAAAGCTAACCTGCGCTTTACATATAGTTTACTACCATGTTTCATTTATCCATTTCATGATTGCACATTTATAAGTAGTAAATTGCACACTTAAATTGCTGCAATTATGGTGTTTAACATGTGCAATATCCGATCTTTATATGTAACTTTCTCACTATTTTGTTTTCCTTTTTACATTTCATTAAGCAGGAAAAACATATGTTCAGAAAACCACTACATATAAAGGAGATTGCAGCTTTATTCTCTCCTAATTGAACTCTTTCCTCTCCCTAATTCAAGCCTTCCTGATTTGATCCCTTGATCCTTTCCCGCCTAATTAGCCCCTACGACAGCGCCTATAGTTATTACCAACCATAACATCTCTCCCCTCCTCTGGAAAGAGCTCGTCCTCGATCAAGGGTTTAATTTGTGCCTATGATATTTTCTATAATATCATATTGCTTCCAGATTATAATTTTGTTAATTGTGATTTGTGCTGACACACCACTTTTTGTCCTTGCCCTTTCATAGTTTTTTTGTGATTTGTGGCAACACATCTTAGATATTTGTCTTTGTCCTTCCATAGAAAAAAATTGTCTCTTATGATTTGTGCTAACTCACATTTTCCTTTTGTTTATTGTGGTTTGTGCTTGCCCAAGGCAAGTTTTTGTCTCTGTCGTATGGATGCTTGGGTGACGCGGTCTGTTGATGCCCACTTGATTGTACTAGGAGAATGGTTGGGTTATGTGTTCCTCCTATGATGATTGAGTGCCAAGTGAAAATGAGGGTCTCAGGCTGTCTAGAATTCATATTGCTAGTCTATAAGTCTGGATACCTTGAGATTGGTCTGGTTGATTTCTTTATCGTGCTAAGGAAATAGTGAATTCTGATAAGGCCTGATGGTTATACAATTGCAGATTGCAGTTGATAAGTTAATTCATGTGTGACATATATGTCAGCCCCCCCTCTCTTTCCTGGTTTCTTTGCATTGTATTCTGTTCTAAAAAGATTGTCAAAAAAAGGAAAATTTCTGCATTTTACTGTTGAACCCTTTCAAAATCCAAGTGACCACATGGGGGGTTTATGCAGAACTCTCCTTTGGGTTTGTTCCATTTTGTGCCTTTTGTCATATCTACCAAGTGCTGACTAATAGGCGCATTCTACCATAGTCTCATAACCATAGGCATAGTGCGGTTAACATAATAACAAATTGACAATGGCAGTAGCATTTGTCAAGTGCATATATGAGGTGAAAAGTTCATAGCTGCTGGATTGTTCCCTTTTACGCTCTCATATCCTTTTTTAAACTATCAGAAATATCTTCATGAATCATTACGTGTGGCATAATTTCTGTTCTTTAGGTATACAGGGTGAATGTTAAAATTATGGCAAACAAATGCTCTTGTTTTATTATGGCAAATTAATAGCTTCTAAGCACTTTTCATGTTACAATTATACTGTGTCGAAAGGGTGTTGCTTGCAGAACTAAATTGTAGTTTTAGAAACTACTAATTGATGCATTTTCTTCTGCAATTTGTGCTTGCTTGAACAATAGGTTGCAATTTCTGCAATTTGGTTCTGTATGCATGGATCAATCTGATTGATATTTACCTTTTTGTCCCTATTATGCACAAATAGAAAGTAGGAACCAATAACCTGCTGAATTCCAGCTTTACAATGATCAAATGAGCATTTCTTACTATTAAGAATGCTAGCTTTTTATATAAATTATTGCCAAACTGTCTATAATCTGAATGTGCTTTTAATTGTTGTTATCCCCAAATAATGCAGTATACACCGCCTATTGACATTTGGAGCATTGGATGCATATTTGCTGAGGTGTTGACTGGGAAGCCTGTATTTCCTAGTAAAAATGTTGTTCATAAGCTAGATTTGATTGACTGATCTTCTAGGCACACCGTCAATGGATAAAATTTCTCGGGTATAGTGCTATAAGCAAGGAAACTCTATTTTTATTTCGTCTCATGGCTCAGTGACTCCAAAGTTGAACTTGTTTTTTATTCATTTTCAGGTTCGGAATGAGAAAGCAAGAAGGTACTTGAGCAGCATGAGAAAAAAGGACCCTGTTCCATTTTCTCAGAAGTTTCCCAGTGCAGATCCTTTGGGACTTAAACTATTAGAAAAGCTATTAGCGTTTGATCCAAAGGACCGTCCAACAATAGAAGTAGTCCTTTGCTGTTGTCTCAAGTAGAAGGTACGTTCTCTATGCAACACGCTCTTTGAGAAAACTAGTGTGATGCTATCTGATCTACTCTTTGCTGATATTGGGCCTCTCTGTCTTAGTTAGTGGGCCTCTCTGGCACGTCTTTATTGGACTGAATGACAATTGTGAGCCTTGTTTACCTGATGGAATTTGTGTGTTGCATTCTCTTAAAACACACGTTTTTTCCGGTGTTTCAATTCGTGTGTTTCTTAGGCATCTAACAACCATGTGCTAACTAGTCCAAAAACACGTGGTTTTTTCTATGTTGAAATCTGTGTGTTTTACATACAGCCAACAGCCATGTGTTGGCTTATGTTAAAATACATGTGTGTACAATAGACAGACTCAACTAGAACTACTATAATATGCATAGCAACATGCACCACAGCAGGCACAACACGAGAAGTAGCCTCTTGTGTACCCATCACATCATCTACGCACTACACCTACACTTCCCGTTCGCCTAACCCTGAGAAGGAGGAGCGAACTTTGGGTCCGATGCCTGACCATACCCTTGCGTAGGGTACGGATGCCCGAACCCCTGAGCGAGCCACTGCGGCAGCCCGACCGCATGCTGGCCTTGTTCTGGCGGCGCGTCCGTAACCGCCGGCAGGCGGAGCAAGACACAGGACATGATCCCAAGCGAGGTGGCAACGAGGCTAAGCACGGCCACCCTGACGAAGACACCGCCCTTGAGTACGGAACACTCCTCGATTGGGCCCGTAAATTTGGCTTCGCGCATCGTGGGCGCGTTTAACATCACGCCTACCAAGTAGAAAACCGCAGCGATCAACGCCGCTACCCTGCAAATTAACCACATGCACCGCCCATCTGGGAGAATGAATATACTCCGATTTAGAGCGAGGTTGGTGCATGCAGGCTTGATTGATTACCATGAGAGGACAGAGACGACGACGCCCATGACTCGTCGCCCGGAGGAGTTAGAAGAAGCACCGCCCGATGGCCTGCAACAACTACAACAGCCACCGGCCGCCGAGGCAATGATCTAGGCCACCGCAAGCAGGAAGATGGCACATCACTACTATAGAATTGAAAATCACTACTGGCACCATTAGTGCCGAATTTCGGCCAACCGACAGTGATGAACCTTCACTGTCGGTTCCGAGCTTGAAAATGAGAAAATAATTGGGGGTTAGCGAAAACCGACAGTGAAGGTCCAAATCACTACCGATTTGAGTGGACGGTCACATATCACTGCCGATTCTAGCCAAGAACCGACAGTGATTTGGAGGTATCACTGTTGGTTCAAGCCAAGAACCGACGACGATAAACTGACAGTACAAAAAGTTGTCGCCGTCCTCTCCTCCCTCCTCTCTACATTGTTGCGGCTACACTTCATAATGAAGCTAGCTCTTGGATTTTAAAGAATAGGCTTGATCTTTTTGCTTTAAGGTTAGTAACAAGAATCCACTACTTTGATTTTGTTGTTTAATTACCGTTGTTTTGATGACTACATTGCTTTATTCTCATTCTAGTTGTTTCTCCATTATAGAGAGCACTTTCCAATTGAACTTTATGCAATGCATCCAAGCAAATTGTGGAGAATTCATCATTCGAAAGGTTAATGTCTACGAATCCATTTAAATTCCTAGCTAATTACATGGTGGTCAAGATGATTGTTAGTATGTGATGCTATAATTAGTTCATGTTAGGAGTAGAGTAGATTCTTTTACAATTTTCAAGAGCAAATTAATCCATGTGTCACCTATCAACATATTGTTTGGAGCTATATTGTTCTTCGTTACCAAGTCTCCAATTTTAGTCTTTTTTTTAATTAGTGTCTCCATTTTTATGTGGCATGAAGTAGAATAATTGTTCTTGATTATTGTGCAATAATTATTTTTTATGGGGCTATAATTTTCAATTTATGCGGCCGGGGCTACCAATTTCATTTTTCCAATAATTAGTATAGAATAATTTTTTCCTACTGTAATTCCTCTATAATTACTCTCCGCATTATTATGTGGCATGAAGTCTCAATATTTTTTTTGTAGAGATGGATCGAGAGTGGATTTATCTGCCCCGAAAGGACAAGAGTACATGTTTGGCGTCGGCAAGTTTCTCACCGATGCCAAAGCCGATGCTGGGGATGGGAACCCTGTCTTGTGTCCATGCAAAGATTGCATGAATCAAAGAAAATAGACTCAAACTGAGTCTATACGAATGCACGTGCTTATCAGGGGTTCATGCCGAACTATACGATGGGGTCGTTCGGCTGGTGCAAATACCAGCCGAAAACACTTTTTCCGGATGGAAACACTGTTCACGCTCTCACAAATTCCTCCAGGTTCATCTAGATTCCTCCAAATTTCTCCAAGCGAACATGGCTGATATGGAGTATGCATAGGAAGGTTGGTGTGAATGTTCTGTAGGAAAACAACGATGATGTGGTTATGCCTGACAGAGCCCTCCACGAGGCGGTTACTAACGAGGAACCCGGTCTCAACACGGAACATATGGCTACCGTTAATGATGTGTTTAGAAATACATTAGCTGACGACACCAAGGATGATGATGGTATTGATGAGCTGCTATGTAATGTATAGAGCAAATTTCTTAGTGATAGATAAGTAAGAAAGCTAGAGATAATGTGATAAGATCATAAAACATATTGTATAAGAATTATCCGGTGAGTAAATTGGAGGCTATTAGAACGTCCTCTTCAGAATTGGATGTCGCCGGGGTCGTGACATGATCCTGACCCATGCGTCTGCGGTTCGCCTGGGAGCCCTGCTGGGCCAGGAACTGGCCGCAGGCACGATCCAAAGATGTCCTTAGGCCTTGTTCAGATGACATCAAAGTTCTAAGTTTTTTCACTTTCTCTTTTATCACATTAATTTTTGGACATATGTATGGAGCATTAAATGTAGGTAAAAAAGTAACTAATTATACGGTTTAGTTGCAAATCACGAGACAAATCTTTTGAGCCTAGTTAGTTCATGATCGGACAAAATTTGTCAAATACAAACGAAACATGCTATAGTATTCAGATTATAAAAATTTGCAATCTAAACATGGCCTTATTTTATGGCGGAGATAGTACTTTGCAGCAACATGCACCAGTACAGGAGGTACAACACGAGCAGTACTGCAGCGTGCGCCTGACCCTGAGGAGTACGTACGCATTACACCTGCACTGCACTTGCCCGTGCGCCTGACCCTGAGGAGGAGGAGCGAGCGAACTTCGGGTTCGGTGCTTGCCACTCCGGCAGCCCGACTGCATGCTTGCCTTCTACAGTAACGTCCGTAGTAGCCGCCGGCAGGCGGAGCAAGACACAGGACATGATCCCAAGCGAGATGGCGACGAGGCTAAGCACGGCCGCCCTGACGAAGACACCGCCCTTGATTAAGTAGCACTCCTCCTCGTCGGGGCCCGCGATTTTGGCTCGGCGCGTCGAGGGCGCGTTTAACATCACGCCTACCAAGTAGAAAACCGCAGCGATCAACGCCGCTACCCTGCAAATTAACCACACCAGTTTCATTAATCCGAGAGAATATACTCCTATTGAGATTTGAGAGCAACGCTGGTGCATGCGGAGTTGATTACCATGAGAGGACAGAGGCGACGACGCCCACGACTCGTCGCCCAGTGGTAGTGGAGTTGGAATAAGAAGCCCCGCCCGGTGGCCTGCAACAACTGCAACAGCCGCCGGCCGCCGAGGCGATGATCTGGGCCACCACAAGCAGGAGGATGGCACAGAACCCCAGCGTGTGAGCGGGGTTGGCCGGATACACGCAGTCGCTACCAGACACGTAGATTTCATCCGGCTGCAAGAACATCAATTAATCCGTCACCGACTTGATCAAAACCATTGTTCTGGCAAAGACGAGTACTTCTACATATAGAGATTGATGCGATTCGGCGAGATTAATGCTAGAATATATATGGACATCGTTTGGATCGCTTACTTTGAGCCTGTTGGCCTCGGCTATGAACCCCAGCACGGCGCTCGTCACACCGAACAGCGCCACCACGCCTGATACGAGGACCGCCACGGCAGTCTGCATATTGATCCTGTTGCCTCTGTGCCTCTGTCTCTCGGTCGTAGTAGCTAGGGGTCTGAGATATCGGAGACGATGAAATGGCTCAATGCTCTGTACTCCCAGCTGGCTTTGATGTACTCCTATATATATGCATGCTCGTGTTTTAATTATTATGTATAGAGAGAAAAAAATATCTCGACCCTCGGATCCTCCGAGCTTTACGCTTTAAAAAGGGGTCTTAAGGCTTGAGAGTGCCGCCTGAAAGGTTATGTCTCGACAAACTTATGAGAGTGATCTGACGAACAGTAGCGCTAATCTGGTAAAAAAAGCGCATCGATCGTACCATCTGGCATCTACCGGACGCTTTCCTTGTAATTACAAACGATGGAGTCTCGCGCCAAGCCAGATCGATGATAACACAATTTATTGGTCCAGTTCAACAGCGCGATGATTATAGTTACTTAAATTACCATGTCACTGTTGAGCTGACGTCAATGATGGCAAACATGCTATGCGACTATCAATTGCACATCACACACCAATACATCTGCATTGCCAATGTCATCCGGTGGCCTGGTCCAGGAGGCAGCACCGTCAATAGGCAGGAAGCCAGGAACGACGGCAACTTCGGTGGCGTGCCCAGATCATCGAACCTCTTGCCATTAATGCATGGTATATTCGACTGATGCATACCTGGTTTTTGCAGTAGCCGATGATTGAGCACGCAGGCTGGTCCTGATTTGTATAATAACTAGATTAATGCCGGCGCGTTACACGAAAAAAAAATACACAATACGGCCAATGAAATAAATATAGTAGTGATAGCCTGGAGACCATAGTGAAAAAGAGTCATCATCAAAGATAAGCATATTTAGCAAAATACTAAAAGTAGCAAATTCGAGTTGACAGATAGATATGCAGTACCTGGATGAAACGGTGTAGTTGATGAAAGCAAGTGTTGTTCGCCGACACAGAGATCAGACAGCAAGGAAAACCTTTAATTTTTTCAGATTACGTGCTTCGAAATTTAACTTGTACATGCTTTTGGAATTAAACTGGTGAACTCGTACGTGCTTTTTCCTTAAGCTTGTATACGTGTTTTTTTATTAAATAAATAAACGTACATGCTTTTGGAATTAAACTGGTGAGCTCGTACGTGCTTTTTTCTTGAACTTGTATAAGTGTTTTTTTCTTGAACTTGTATACGTGTTTTTTTATTAAATAAATAAACGGCGAGGTGGCACCTGAGCCTGGTATTTGCTTCCATTTGTAGAGCTCGTACGTGCTTTTTCCTTGAGCCTATACGTGCGCACAGCACCGGCGTGGTCGAATAATTGCATATGCGTCTTGACGGCTATTGTAGCTGATTATGCGGATACAGAGTTTGGACACGAGGAGGGTGCTTTTGATCTTTTTCCGTATCCTAGACGTGCAGGGATCGGGGGCGGGCGCGGGCGCACCAGGTCCTGTTGGACGAAAGCCGTCACGTTTTTTAGGTGATAATAGACTAGCAAAGTGGTACGCGCAAATAACAGAGATAGCTATGTTTTTATTATAATATTTTTAGCTTTATTTATTTGAAAATATTTTTACAAATAGTTCTTCTGTTTGTTTGATTGTAGTTCTTATTTATCCAAGTGCCTCTATTGTATCTATCTCTACAAACTCCGTATTGATATCACCGACCCAGACACAAAGATAGAGTCTGTCTAGCTGAGACTCAGAGTGTTGAGAGAGGAGGAACACTCAATTTTTTTGCACGGTTCATCTTCTTCCTCGCCACCACCCACCACCCCGCCGCCGAAACTAGCGTGGCTGCGGCGGCCTCCTTCTTCCCCTCCCCGATCTCCGGCTTCCGCAGCGAGCTTCGGCTATGGCGCCCCCGCTCCGGCCTGGCCCGGCCGCCTCCACCGCCACCAGGGCTCCTAATCGCCCGGCCGCCGTCCCCACCGCCTGGCCGCCCTGCTCCCCGGCCACCGGCCCCTTCTAAGCCCGTCGAAGTTGGAGAAGATGAACAGTGAAAATGGATCGAGTGTTGAGAGAGATAGAAACACTCAAGTGCGAGTTAGAATTACCGTAAAGATATTGATGCATTTCCTCTCCTACTTCTTTTTTCCCAATCCTTTATGTGGCCGTGCAGCTTATGCTGACATCATATCAGGGTAGCCTTGTTTTTTCTTGGTGAGCTTCATTCCTCGGGAAAAAAAAACATTGTCCAAGACTCTAACAATTTTGTTCAGTTTCGTAGCCCTTCTGTAAATTTAGTTTATGGATTATCTTGCCCATTATCATGTAAATCTGTAGTTTCCTTCTTTCCGTAAAGCGTCATCGGATTCCTCACAATGCTGCCCATGTTTGCTACGTGCACTGCTACACCAAAAGATTACCGCCGGCGCCATCATCCATTGGAAACTCAAGCATTTCCAAACAAATTGTGGAACCATCACATAGGCCATAAACTACTGATCTCATGCCTGCTAGCCACACCTTTCTACTGCATTGCGGTCAACCATGTTCTAACCATGTTTATATCCGCTTGTGCATGACCAACATCTTGGAAGAAAAAAGTTGAACAATGTTCGTTACACTGCTAACTGCTAACTGCTAGAGAACAGACTTTAGAACGATATCCCAATTTAGCATTAGCCTCGGTATTTTTTTTTTTTTTGACCCGGGACTAAAAGGCCCTTTAGTCCCGGTTGGTAATACCAACCGGGACTAAAGGTCCCTGCCCAACGGTCGTCCACGGGACAGGGATCTTTAATCCCGGCTGGTATTACCAACCGGGACTAAAGGCGTCCCGGTTGGTAATACCAGCCGGGACTAAAGCTTTTAGTCCTGGTTTGGCCCCCTAATCGGGACTCATTATCCCGGCCTATACACCAGCTCATTTCTTCCTCCCCGAGCCCGAGCCATTCCATTCAAACTCACTGCCTCTGTTCTTCAGCTTGCTGTTGTTCTTGCTCTCTCCCCCTCCATTGGTGTTGCTCTTCGATTTTGAAGGTAACAAACTTAATCCTCTTATGTTTTATCAATAGCTTATCTCATTTTGCGATGTAGATGCATATGTAACTTTATATGTTGGACTTTATTATGATTTTATATGTCATTTTTAGCTCAAAATCACATGATGATTTGCATATATGTTTGGATAAACAAAAGTTAAATTAGTTCATCAAAATCACGCCTCGCTCGTCCTCGCTGGAGCACGCGCCATCCTCGTCCCCGGCGGCTTATGTGATCTTAGAATTATTTTTTCCATGAAATGAAAAACTTAGAAAATAGTTAGAAAATTATAGAAAATACGTACTAGTTGAACTTGCGGACCGTGTTCATCTCGGCGAGCATGTTCTCTGTCGAGCGGTAAAAGACGTCAAGGAGGAGCTTTGATTCTACGAGGGAGAGCGGCAACGGTCGTGGAAGACCGTGTTCCCTTCCTCGTAGAATCGGAGCTCTTCCTTGGCCAAGTACGGTGCCGTCCGGTGGAGAAATGCTCGCCGAGATGATCACGTAAGCAAGGTCAACTAGTACGGATGGTTATTTATTGAAACATGCTTTTGAGCTATGTGATTTCTATGTCATTTTTAGCTCAAAATCACATGATGATTTACAATAGTAAAATCACTTGATAGTTTGGTATTTTACTATTATACATAGTACATATTTCATGGTTTAGTTAGATAAATAAATAATTTTAGTTTTGTTTAAATATATTATTTTAGAAAATATGAAATTTACACTAGTTTACAAAAATAAGTATAGAAAGTAGATGACAACTGGTACCGGATCCTCGGCCTCTCGTTCGGTTGCGAAACGACTGAGGCCAGAACTCCCTCTCATTATCTGCGGCAAGTGTAAGCAGAAGATTGTGACGGAGTACCGAGTTGAGAGACAGGGACCCAACAAGGGTCGTGTTTTCTACAAGTGCCCGGATCGCGATGTGAGTTTCTTACGCATTTGATTATTATGGCTAATTGACATGCTTTTCTTGAATATTTTTGACTAAATATTTTTTGGCTTTAATTTCAGTGGGAGGGCAATGGATGCGATGGTTGGTACTGGGAGGAAGATTATGCTACATACGTACAGAATTCGGGTGCGCTTGAGGTAGTGGCTTCTGATGATGAGGCAGTGAGCCAGTAGGAGAAGCTTATTGATATTCAACAGAAGAATAATTTGTCTGTTTTAGTTGCGTACGGTCATGAAATAATTATGTTACTGAAATGCATTGTAGTTTTAGTTGGTTTAGTGATAGTTGGGATTGCTTACGTTGTAGCCAGGCTTAGTTAATTAATCAACCGTGTGTGTGTCATCTATGTTGTGTAATAAAATACTTAATTATGTTCAAGGTTTTCATAATTTGTCGTGTAAAACAGATTATGTCATGCCATTGGATGTACAATGCCGATCGCCGCTCCCAAGACTTTATTGAGGGCGTGCATTATTTCTTAGGTGTGGCCGAGGCAAATAAGCGGGATGGTTACATGTGCTGTCCATGTGCCATATGTAAGAATTTAAAGAAATATTCAAGCTCAATGAGTCTTCATTCACATTTGCTTAAGTCAGGTTTCATGTCAAACTATATATGTTGGACTAAGCATGGAGAAAGCGGGGTCATGATGGAAGAAGGTGAAGGAGAAGATTTAAACATTGATGACATTATTGCTTAGTATGGTGCCTTTGATGATACTACAATGGGGGGAGATGAAGAAGAGGTAGCGGCAGAAGATGATCTCGGTGATGCTCTTGGCGATGCCATTCGTGATGCACAGCAAGAATGCGAAAGTGAAAAAGAGAAAGTTAAGTTCGAGCGTATGCTTGAGGATCAAAGGAAGTTGCTATACCCGACGGCCGAAGAGGGGCAAAAAAAGCTGGGTACAACATTGGAATTGCTACAGTGGAAGGCAAAGAATGGTGTATCTGATAAGGCATTTGGAAATTTATTGAACCTCATAAAGAAAATGCTTCCGAAGCCAAATGAATTGCCCACCACTACGTACGAAGCAAAAAGGTTGTCTGCCCTT